GTTTCTCCTCATGTTGCTTCCTTTCTCTCTCCTCCTTTTCCTTCTCCTCCCTTTGCTTTTTTGCTAGCTCTTCCTTCTCCTTCTCCAACCTCAGTCTCTCCTCCTCCTTTCCCCTCCTAATCCTTTCTTTCTCCAGCTCTTCCTTCTCCTTCTCCAACCTCTGTCTCTCCTCATGTTGCTTCCTTTCTCTCTCTGCCTTTTCCTTCTCCTCTCTTTGCTTTGTTGCTAGCTCTTCCTTCTCCTTCTCCAACCTCTGTCTCTCCTCCTCCTTTTCCCTCTCAATTCTTTCTTTTCTCTCCCTTTCCAACCTCTGTCTCTCCTCATGTTGTTTCGTTTCTTCCTCAATCTGTTGCTTCCTTTCTCTCTCCTCCTTTTCCCTCCTAATTCTTTCTTTCTCCATCTCCTTTCTCTCCTCCTTTTCCTTCTCCTCTCTTTGCTTTTTTGCCAGCTCTTCCTTCTCCTTCTCCAACCTCTGTCTCTCCTCATGTTGCTTCCTTTCTCTCTCCTCCTTTTCCAGCTTCAGTCTCTCCTCCTCCTTTTCCCTATCAATCCTTTCTTTTCTCTCCTTCTCCAACCTCTGTTTCTCCTCATGTTGCTTCCTTTCTCTCTCTTTCCTTTTCCTTTTCAGCTTCAGTCTCTCCTCCTCCTTTTCCCTCTCAATTCTTTCTTTTCTCTCCTTCTCCAACCTCTGTTTCTCCTCATGTTGCTTCCTTTCTCTCTCCTCCTTTTCCTTCTCCTCTCTTTGCTTTTTTGCCAGCTCTTCCTTCTCCTTCTCCAACCTCTGTCTCTCCTCATGTTGCTTCCTTTCTCTCTCTTCCTTTTCCAGCTTCAGTCTCTCCTCCTCCTTTTCCCTCTCAATCCTTTCTTTTCTCTCCTTCTCCAACCTCTGTTTCTCCTCATGTTGCTTCCTTTCTCTCTCCTCCTTTTCCTTCTCCTCTCTTTCCTTTTTTGCCAGCTTTTCCTTCTCCTTCTCCAACCTCTGTTTCCTCATGTTGTCCTTTCTCTCTCCTCCTTTTCATTCTCCTTCTTCTTTGCCAGCTTTTCTCTCCTTCTCCAACCTCTGTCTCTCCGCATGTTGCTTCCTTTCTCTCTCTTCCTTTTCCAGCTTCAGTCTCTCCTCCTCCTTTTCCCTCTCAATCCTTTCTTTTCTCTCCTTCTCCAACCTCTGTCTCTCCTCATGTTGCTTCCTTTCTCTCTCTTCCTTTTCCCTTTTCAGCTTCAGTCTCTCCTCCTCCTTTTCCCTCTCAATCCTTTCTTTTCTCTCCTTTTCCAACCTCTGTTTTTCCTCATTTCTTTTATTTTCTTCCTCAATGTGCTGCTTCCTTTCTCTCTCTACCTTTTCTTTCTCCTCCTTTAGCTTTTTCTCCAACTCTTCCTTTTCCAGCTTCTTTCTCTCCTCCTCCTTTCCCCTCTCAATCCTTTCTTTCTCCATCTCTTTTCTCTCCTTGTCCAACCTCTCTTTCTCTTTCCTCTCTGCCTCTTCTCTCTCCTTCTTCTCTCTTTCCTCCTTTTTAATGTTTTCTATCCATTCCTTCTCCGTTCTCTCCCTCTCCTGCTCCCTCTCTTTCTCCTGCTCACTAGCTGCCAGTCTCAGATTTTCCACCAGACTGAGTCCATGTGAGGTTTTCTGAGCTAATCCAGCCTGTTCACTAATCCTCTGGTTTTCTGTTGTGTCAGAGAAAGCCGTAGGTGGAGAAATGTCGACAACAATGGGAATCAGTGGCTCGTCATCTGGCATCTTCACATCTTCTCCATGTAAAGTTTCCTGATCTTCGTTACTTATAAGGAGGCATGGTTGTTCTGCAGAGTGATGGGGATGACCTGTGTCCACAGGTCCAGATGTATGCAGGATGGAAGCCACTGTCTCATAGCTAAAGGGACAGGAAAAAACTCTGAGACACGGCTCACCCTCAAATGACCTCAGCAGTCTCTGAACAGTGTGACAGCATGCTTGATTAAGAAGTTTCCATTTTCTCAGACTTTGTTTTGGTGCTTGTCCAAAGCACACAGAGGAAACATGTATTGTTGGTTGCACTGAGAACCACCCTACACTTTCAATAGTGCACAACTTAAGCCCACTGGCATTTCCATCCCCTCTAGCATGATGACAGAAGAAACGCTTTATGCATTCAGAGAAAGATAACTCAGCGTAAAATTGGAAACAGATCCAATGGTACAAGTAAAATGCAATTAATTTATATGGTACTTCCAACACATTCTCACTCCCAACTCGGCCTATGTTGACGTTATGTCAGGGTCCCTGTCGTCACTTTCCAACGCAAGGGGGGGACCTTTAGCGTCAAGTTTCAACTATCAGGGAGTCCCATTGACTTGTATAGAGCTCCCTGAACGTTGGTAATAGACGAGTTGGGATCGCGGCGAAATGCTCTCCGCAGATTCATTCTCACAGCGTTTCTCAACCTTTTTCTAACTCAATATCAAGCCACACTTATTGTGTTTACTTCTTTATTTTAATTGAATAATGTCGGACTTTTGTTGCCGTCAGTTATGGGGAGAGTAGGGGCTCAGAAAATTGAAATCTGTATTGTTTCATCCTTTTTTCCTTCTAATTTTGTATTATTTTCTAAACCACACACTGTTATTTACTCAACAATAACACACAATTATCCTTGTGTTTATTTATTTGTTTGATTAATAAACACAAGTTGGAGTCCGTCAGGACCGAGGGTCGGAGCAGCTCATAGTAGTTGCTTAAGAGAATTTTACACCCGGAAGTAAGTATTCTCTCCGCTTTGCTCAAACCCCGTGATTAGTCCTTAAGCTCTGTGATTGGATGTTTTAGCCGCAATGCACGTTGGGATATGGTGTTTATGCAATGTGAAATCCGAAAACATTTAAAAAAATAAAATAATACTTTATTCCGACTGTGCTTGCTTTTCTCTTTGGAAGTCATCACATAACGGCATTGTAATACACAGTTCGGCTGCATTAAATATTACACATCTGCCGTAGTTCTTTATTTATAGAGCCCTGATCAGAAGACTTCTGGACAAACAGGAAGAACTGCCGCCGAAACTGAATATGTAACGTGGATCATAAATATATCAGCAATTAAACAACATCTTCAATTTCTCTTCAAAATATACGTCTCCTTGTAGTATCAACACTAATTCGGCTGACTTTTATATTTGATCCAATTGGTAGATAGGCTATATTTACACCATAAAGGTGCACAGATATTAATAGGAGACACAGACAGACAAACTAATAAGGCTTTATTTAAACATTAAAGAATACTTGGTTAAGGTCTTCTTTTGAATAAGAAAAAAGCTTTGGGGGTATCTACAGATACATATTAAGCCTGACAAAGTACTAATATATTGCTTTTCTGCAATGTTAACTACTGTATGTTTAAGCACTTATTTTAACTGATATTATACATATGTATTATACTCTTATAAGATGTATGTAGATAGTATAAGAAATGTGCAGAATACGACAGGTGGAGGTATACACACATATTGATAGATGTCTTGTAATGCACTGTTGAGGAACCTGCGACCCAAGTTTTTCATCTCCGACCTTGTCAGGTATTGAACATTCAATAAATAAAGAACACAGAATTATTAAATATAAAACACAGAATTTGTGTGATTATACTAAATGATTTACAAATAAACACCACTGCATATTTACACATGCTGCTGTAACGAAAACATTTCCAACTTGGGATCAATAACGTATATCTTATCTTAAGCTGATAGATGGCTACTGCCATATTTGCAAAATGTGCCTCTGAACATTGACAAGTGCATGTTTCAGGCTTATCAATTAACAACAGGAGGGGTCACAGACATAAGACCAGCTGTTCTGACCTTAGCTGTCATGTGGGTATATATTAATGCTGCCCATTATGGACACAAGCCATTTTCACCCATTTATTAATTATATGTTTTAAATTTGAGTGTTTCCTATCTCCTAAACCTCCAGGGATGTACACAATTTAATACTGGCAACTTCTTATTATGGGAAATACGAAAACGTCTTTTAAAACTACAATTCCCAGTAGAGACGTGCCATAGAACATGTTGTGAAACACACAATAGTCAGCATGTGTAGTTCTGGGGACAGGGTGGGGGAGGGGGGTGGTGGACCCATCCGAATCCAGTTTTGGATAGTCTGCCGTGGTTCCATCCCATTTCAAAGTGCTGTTTGATGCTCAGCGTAACCCTCGGCGCACTGCCACTCAAACATCCAATCACAGAGCTTGAGGACTAATCACGGGGTTTGAGCAAAGCGGAGAGAATACTTACTTCCGGGTGTAAAATTCTCTAAAGCAACTACTATGAGCTGCTCCGACCCTCGGTCCTGATGGACTCCAAAAGTCTGACATTATACAATCAAACAAATAAATAAACACAAGGATAATTGTGTGTTATTGTTGAGTAAATAACAGTGTGTGGTTTAGAAAATAATACAAAATTAGAAGGAAAAAACGATGAAACAATACAGATTTCAGTTTTCTGAGCCCCTACTCTCCCCGTAACTGACGGCAACAAAAGTCCGACATTATTCAATTAAAATAAAGAAGTAAAAACAATAAGTGTGGCTTGATATTGAGTTAGAAAAAGGTTGAGAAACGCTGTGAGAATGAATCTGCGGAGAGCATTTTGCCACGATCCCAACTCGTCTATTACCAACGTTCAGGGAACTCTATACAAGTCAATGGGACTCCCTGATAGTTGAAACTCGATGACAGGGACCCTGACATAACGTCAACATAGGCCGAGTTGGGAGTGAGAATGTGTTGGTACTTCAGTCACTTAAGTTAAATGTAATCCCTCTTTTTGAGTTTTACTTGATGAAGTAATATTGCTTTTTGTTGTTTTTACTTGTTTTGTGCAACATTTATCTCAAAGGTCGTAGCAGTAGTTCTTTTCAATGGCGTGTTCTGACTTTATCTAAGCTTGGACTACTGAAATGTTTTCATAACCCCCCACACACACAAAACTCATAGCAGGGCAGAAGGACTGACTCACCCTCTATAAAACACCCCAACTACCGCTGACATGAAGCCAGCCGGAGCCTCCATCTGCTGCTCCGCAACACACACATCTGCCTCTGTGTGTGCACATTTCTGGGCACTACCACACACACAGACACGCACAAAATGTACTCTTGTGAAACCTCTCATCAAATAAGTCAGTTTAAACAAACAGCAGACAGAAGTTGAGATGAAGATGAAGTTAACTAAGCAATGGTTAGGCTGCAGCACCACGTGAGTCAGTACATGTGCAGGACAGGTGTGTGTGTGTGTGTGTGTGTGTGTGTGTGTGTGTGTGTGTGTGTGTGTGTGTGTGTGTGTGTGTTTGTATGTATGTGGTGGTTTGCAAGCAAAAGCAAATATGTCATGCCATGCTGCAAGAAACCGTCACTGACTCACCCCCCTATTACACCACCCTCTTCCTCCTTCTTCTCATCCTTCTCTTCAGTGTTCTCACTACTCTCCGTCCCTCTTTCCGCTGTGGTCTCCTCCACTGCCGCCCACAGCTGCTTCTCCGCCTCACACACTGGCTCCTTATTGTTGATGAGACTCTCCTGACCACCAGTCACGGCCTCGGATGGTTTCCCCTCATCTGCTCCCTCCCGTTGTGGTTTCCCCGGCTGGAGGACTTGTTCCTGCCGCAGTTCTGGTTCTGGTTTTGAGGGAAGCAGCGACTCCAGCGCCAAAGCCGTATGCTCAAAGGCTGGTTTGGGGGAAACTTCGGTTGAGGTTTCTGGTTCCACGCTGGGTCCTTCTGGCTCTTTGGGCTGCTCTTTGTTTGGTGGTGCGCCGGGTTCAGTTGGAGTTGGGACAATGTGAGGTGTTTCTGAGTCTTTTGTTGTGATTGGCTGGGGCTCCTGCTTCACAGCCGTGTCCACCTGAACAGCATCTTGTTTTTGTGAGCTAGGAGAAAAGTAAAAAATCACATGAAAACACAGCCGTTACCGTTTTGGGGCCTATTCTATCATTAAGAAGCCAGACCACCAGCGAAGCAGACACACACACTGATAGTCGTAAAGACAGACAAAGCAGACAGACAGACGTCCCCTCATCCATTCTTACCCTCTGCACAAAGGTTTTGTACCCTTGTTAGCAGAGCATTTTTCAGGTATATCTTTTCCCATTTCTCCCTTCTAGCGATTTCCACACAGGAGTCTCTGCATCAGACCGCCTCTGTGGAGCTGGCACCAGGGTCAACACCTCTAATGTGAAAGGTTTATCCTGAAAAGTGGGGCCTCGTGGAGGACATGTGGCAGATATTTTCTTTTCTGGGCCAACAGTTTTTGGCAATGAACCTTCCTTTAACAGAGAGGGTTGCCCCAAACTAGAATAAGGGGAGACAAATAAATATATAGGATGAGATGAAGGGTGGGGGGCATGATGGTATGAAAAAAGAGTTCAGCAGGAATAAGAAAGACATAGGAGGAAAGCCATTTAACAACAGAAACAAATTAAAGTAGGGGTGAGTGATACCACACAATTTAATACCAAGTATTCCCACGGCCAGGATTACTGATTTCAATGTTTTTTGTTATTAGAAGAGCAAACAAAAACACTGATTCATTGGGGAAATGCATCATTATTACATTTTAATTGCATGGTGTCTTGGAGATTAGTATTTTCTTTTGTCTATTGTCTATTATATACATGCATGGTAAAATGCAATATGTTAATGGTAAATAAGGTAATTTGAATGTATGATGCACACACAACAGCAGAAAATAACAGATCTAGCAAGTGTTGCAACTCAAAACAAGACTCAGTATCGATGGTATCTATGTCATTCTCTGGGGATCAATCTACCCACCCGTACCACATAGATAATCAATAAGGTCTTACAAGAGCAAAGAAAATAATCACAACAAAACAGCAGAGCAATAATCCAAAACACAAATGTTAGATGTTTTAGTTAACCAGTATTAAAACAAAGTTAATTTAAAGTAATTTTTCAAGGAAAACACAGATTTTATTTGATGATTTAGAAAGAAAATGACAGCCGTTTAAAGTATAACAAAATCAACACCGACAGTGTGACAAAATGTAACTTTTTCAGTGGTGCAACTCACCGCTCATTGGAGGCGGAGCTTGGTTTATTGACAGATTGAAGGGTCATGCCTCCGTCTTGTGATTGGTGGAGAGTTTGATATGACCGTTGCTTGGATGTACAGCTGGTTGTGTCCAGAGGAGGGAGGAGAGGAGCAGGAAGTGGAGTCTGTGGTCCATCTTTAGGAGCTGTGGGCAGGTGTGTGAGACTGGGAGGAAGGAGGTCAGTGTTTAGCTGAGAAGGAGTCTTCATCTTCTGCTTGTCCTCATCTGACTTGTTGGTCTCCTTCTTCCTTTTGTCTTCCTCCTCTTTCTTCCTCCTCCTTTCCATCTCTTCCTTCTTCTGTTCTACTTCTTTATTTGTCATGTCTTCTTCCTCCTTTATTCTCCTTTTCTCTTTCTCCTCTCTAAGTCTCTTCTCCTCCTCTTCCCTCTTTTTTTTCATCTCAGCCTCCTTTTCCTTCGGCTCCTTCAAGAGTCTCTCTTTCCTCCTCTCCTCCTCTTCTTCACGTATTTTCTCCTCTGCTTTTTTCCTCCTCTCCCTCCTTTCCTTCTCTTTCTTGATGAGTCTCTCATTCTCTTTCATCTCTCTCACACTTTCCTCCTCCCCCTCCTTCTCCTCGTTCCTCTCTTCCTCCTCCCTCTTCTTCCTCACCCCTTCTGCCTCCATTTTCTTTCTCTCTTCTCCTTTCCTCTCCTCCTCCTCCCTCTTCTTCCTCACCCCTTCTGCCTCCATTTTCTTTCTCTCTTCCTCTTTCCTCTCCTCCTCCTCCCTCTTCTTCCTCACCCCTTCTGCCTCCCTTTTCTTTCTCTCTTCCTCTTTCCTCTCCTCCTCCTCCCTCTTCTTCCTCACCCCTTCTGCCTCCCTTTTCTTTCTCTCTTCCTCTTTCCTCTCCTCCTCCTCCTCCTCCCTCTTCTTCCTCACCCCTTCTGCCTCCCTTTTCCTTCTCTCTTCCTCTTTCCTCTCCTCCTCCTGTACTTGTTGTTTCTGTTCTTCCTCCTTCTTTATCCTCTCCTCTTCCTCTTTGATTTTCTGCTGCTCCCTCTCTTGTCTCTCCTCCATCTTCCTCTTCTCTTCCTCTCCCAGGAGCCTATGTCTCTCTTCCTCCCTCCCCTTTCTTTTCTCCTCGAACACTCTCCTCTCCGCCATAAGTTTCTCCTCCTCCTCTTTCATTTTTCTTAAGAATCTCTCCTTCTCCAGCCTCCTCTCTTCCTCCCTCCTTACTTTCTCCTTTTCCCCCTCTACCTCCAGAAGTCTCCTCTGCTCCTCTCGTTTCTTCCTCTCCTCTTCATCCCGCGTCCTCTTGTCCTCCCTCTGCTTCTCTTGTTTATCTCTCCTCTCAACAAGGAGTCTCTCCTCCTCGCATCTCTTTCTTTCCTTCTCCTTCTTGAGCTCCTCTTCCTCCTGTAAGAGCCTCTTCTTCTCCTCCTCTAACAGTCTCTTTTTCTCTTCTTCATGCTTTCTCCCCTTTTCCTGCTTCTGGAGCATCACTTTGTGTTCTCCATCTTTCCTCCTCTGTTCCTCCTCTTGTTCTCTCTCCCTCTTCTTCTTCTGCTCTGCCTCCATCTTCACCTCCTTGTCGGTCGCTGCTCCCTCTAACTTCTCATTTTCTCCACCGGCCTTTTCACTGGTTTTCTGTTCAAGACTGCAGAACAGATAAACAATATTCCTTAAACCTAACTGTATGTGTGTGTGTGTTTGTGTGCGCGTGTTCGTGTGTGTGTTTGTGTGTGTGTGTTCTTGTATGTGTGTGTGTGTGTGTGTGTGTGTTATCTGCATCACCAGTTCACATTTTGCAAACTTCTTATTTGATTTGTATCTGCAGATATAAATACTCACCCTGGAGGACACCTTTTAATAGTATCCCGCTTCGAGTCATCCTCTTCCAGAAACAACCCCCCTGATTCATGCGTCTGGTTGAATGACTCAAAGGTGATGTCATCAAAGTCAGGCTCAGGCTCAGGCTTTGCCAGTGGCGGCTTTTCGGCCTTAAAGGCACTTACAATCACACTTGTTTCATTGGTTGACCTTTTCAAATCAATTTCCCCCTGAGCGCTCGAGTGTTTAGGAGTGATAAACGCCGCCACAACATTGGTGGAGGTCTGCAGAGGGGTGGAGCTCTCACAGCAGGAGAAGGGCCACGGAGGGGGCGGGGCTACTATCAGCTCTGAGTGGGCAGGACTGGGGGCAGAAATGTTGGAGGTCAGCCGCGAGAGATGAGCGGGTGAGATTTCACGATGCCGAGCGTGCAGGAAGTGATTGGGGGGGAAGTTAGCCCGCAGGCCACAGAGCAGACCCTAAAGTTATTCCAAGGTCAATGCAACAGGAGGGTACAACACACTTTGCAGCTGTTAGCCCACTGTTAGCATCAAAAAAGCACAAACACCAAGCACATAGCAACCACAAAACCTTGAGCAATAGTGTCAGTAAAATCTTGATCAACAAACACAGTAAATGTTTTGTTAACCACAAGATTGTCGGCAAGCTGAAGCAGGTTTGTCTCAGTCAGCACTAAATAGCGTGGTGTGGTGTCATTTGGATTATAATGAGTTTCAATAGCATTGAAACTGAGAGTTAAGGAGATCAATATGCTCAGGGCTGTCGGTTTATTAGAAAGCTACCACCAGCAGTCAGTTCGCTAAGCAAAGAACATATAACGTTGCTTGTTTATGTGCAAGACTATATCTGGGCCGGTCTTATTTACTTCATGGACTTTCTGAAGTGTATTGTACACATGGAGCAAAGCAGATTAGGTGCTGTTTTTTGGGACAGAGCAGGGTTAGCTATTTTCCCTGTTTCCATTGTTTATGCTATGCTAAGCTAACTGTCTCCTGGTTGAAGCTTTATATTGAACAGACAGACCTGAGACCGGCACCAATGATTTAACCCTTTGCCAAAAAGCTAATTAGCGTATTTCCCCAATTGCTGGTCTATTTTTGAAGCAAGTGTATAGATGAACTCTCTATGCTTGCTTTTATGAGTCTCTGTGTCCATGTTTCTCCCAAACTCTGCTATCTGCCACCAGTTTTCAAGATGCCTCTTCTTTAGCTCTGTGGTCTGCTGACACATTTTGACTTCACACAGCATTTCGGGGCCAAACAAACCTCTAAAGGCTCCAAACCAAGCAACCTAAATGTAAACACTCATGTGATACATGACATCCCATGACCTCACCTGATCCTTGTTGGTTCAGCTTTGTTTTCTGGGATGGCTGCCTTTGAATCCTGGGCTGGTCTGATTAGCTGGTTGGATACTCTGAAGTTGGCCTCTGTCCGGTTCTTTTGAGGGGAACACTCGTCTTGGCTCGAAGTTGTTTCCTCGTCTACTTGAGTGAGGGGAAACAGTGAGCCTAGAAAAAGGACAGATAATGAAAGAAGTTATAAACAAAGGAAATAAAGGGGAACAAAGCGAAAGCAAGAACTGATGAAACATATTCCTCTCTTTGAGGGATCGCTGCAAAAAAGAAGAGTTTAGTTATTTAGCTTAAAAATGCTTACAAATTAGACATCTTCATTATATCAATTAGCACAACTCAATTGGCTCAAATAAACTGAGTTAGGATTGTTTTCATTTGAGTGGGCCAGTACCCTTGTAACACTGAGTTTGGACCCCCCTGTGTCCCCCGCCTCCAAAAGACAAAAAGTATGATAATACAATTTCTGATAGTGTTGCAGAAAAAGACTGTATTGTCACTTGTTTTTTTATAATATAATGAAAAAAAACTGTAGTCATTGTATGCTCCTAAAAAAATACCAATAACGGTATTTTATTAGGTCTGTTTTTTTATGGTGCTATGACTTTATACTGAATTAACAGTGGTGGTGGTGGTGGTCTAATAATGGATAGTGAGGCGGGCTGAAGATCGGAAGGTTGTGAGTTCACATTTCTGAAATCTTGGTCTTTGTGTCTTTTTGTCATGCATTAAATGTACAGAGCGCCACTGCTTGTACCTGACTGACAGGAGCTGATGGGAGCGGGAGGAGCAGAGGGAGAAACAGCGAGCTGAGTGTGAGGAGAGGAGAATAAAACAGAGGTGGAAAGAGAAGAGGAGCGAGAGGGTGAGGAGCGAGGGAGGGAGGCAGTGAGGGCTGGAGCCTCGGGGTCACACAGGGCATCGAGGTCGGGACTACACAGCAGAGGGACAGTGCTGATGTCACTTCCTGATGTCAACCACGACCCCTGAGCACCTGAGGAGATCAGAGAGGAAGGACAGGGAAGAGGAGGTGGAGAGGGAGATAGGAGAGGTAAGGTAAGGTAGGTTCATATAGGAACAAGATAAATGATGGTGGATGAAGACAGAGGAGAAGAAGAGTATATTTCTGACATTGGTTACCTCTCGGGGACTCTGAGATAGAGGGGTGAGATTTAGGGAGATGAGGAGTTGATTCAGGGGGGGGGGCATCAGCAGAAAAAGGAGAGGGAGAGGAGGGGCGATCGATTGACTTGACGAGCTGAGGTCTGAAAATGTGAGCATGGCCTAGAGAGGACAGACGATGATTTTAGAAGCAAAACAGAGAAATTAAGAAAATTATTTGTAAAAGATAATTAGTAATGGACTAGCATCTCTTTTCACAGCAGAGACAGACCAGAAAGTGAAGTAAGATCCTCTTTGGTTTGAACCTCTTGGGGGCGCCGTTGGTGTGAAACAGGAACTATGGAGAGGACAAGAGGGTAGAAAGAGAAGTGATGAGCAAAAGAGGAATGAAAAAAAGAAGGAAGAAGCAAAGAGTGAAAGGGAAACAGCTTGGCTAATTATTTATCATGCATTGTACTCATTGTTCTCCACTAGAGAACTGATCTAAATATCTCTGTTTGCTGCAGTCTCATCAGTGATTAGCAGTTTCAAAGTCATCAAAATGCTATTAATGTACAATTAAGAAGGCTGAATTAAAAAGCTAATTTTCTTAATGTTCCATACTTGCAAAGTGCTTTTTTATTCACTTTAATCTTAAATTTAGGCAACTGTGTAAGGGCCGGTTGAACTCAATATATATCGGATACATTTTGTTATGTTATACAATTTACTATATGATGTCATTTTTCTATATTTTTAATAGATATTTTCTATATATTTATTAGAGAGTGTAAGAGATATATTCTTAAAATGTACAACATTTAAGAATAGCCAGGCCAGTATTATTTTGAAAGAAGTTTAGGAATAATGTTGTGTGTTGATAGTATGAGATGTCTGAAAGTGTGGACTGAAACAGAACTGTCAAACTTTTAGATTTAGATACCACTCACTTCCTTGGTGGTTGGATTTCAATATTCAAATAAACCTCCAGTAAATATGTTTCCTGCTGTGTTGTGTTCACTGGTGGTATTTTGCCCAGAAAATACAATTGAATAGGTCAGATGTGTGAGATACTGCAGCACTAACAAGACATACAGATGTTTAAATCTAAATTCTGTAAACTGATCTTCCTCACTATACTGTACATACACATTATACTACACACTGTGTTGATCTTTCTCAAATAACATGGGCATGACTCTTAATCATGTGGAACACAAGGTCAAAAAAGGAATCAGTTTTGTGGAAAAGCCAAAGTGTTGATACCTTTTCCTGAGCCTGACTGGAAGATTCTGGGCAGAGAGGGAGGCTGAGAGAGGCTCCGGGTGAGAGTAGGGCGAGAGGATGGAGGTTCAGATGTCAGGGTGGGATTTGATGGAGAGGAGGAACTATGGGGGAGTAGCTGGGATGCAGTAGAGGTGGTATTATGGGTGAGAGTAGTGGATACAGTGAGGGAAGACCTATGAGGAGCTGTGGAGGTTGATGCTATGGTCATTTTGGGTGATGATAAAACAGGGGAGTGAAGTTTGGGAGTTAATGAGGTGATATGTGTTTCGGAGGCACCTGGTGGCCTAAAAGGCACATTGGAGGGGGTATTTGAGGAGGAATTAACGGGAACAGAGGGCAAAGAAGGCTCCACTGTGGCAGCGGGTGAAGTAGGAAGAGATTCAGAGCTTTTAAGTGCAGGATGAATAGAAGAGGAAATGTTTTGAGAACACAACGTAATTATAGGTGCTTTGGAGGCTTTGGGAGACGGAGGTTTGGCAGGAGCAACATCCTGTAGAGGCAGGAAAGGGGAGGCACTCTGGGTGGAGGGCGGAGTCACTGTGGGCTGGGAGCTTGGAGGAATAGGGAGTGGGATAGAGGAAGAAGCCTCAGAGAGGAGAGGGGTGGAGGATGTTTTATGCTTGGATCTGGGTGAGGGCTGAGGGGAGGGACCAGGGGATGGTTGGATCTCTGAGGTCAGGGAGTGACGGCTGCGGCGGGGCGAAGGGCGAGGAGCGATAGGGAGAGGAGGGCGGCAGAGGACCGCAGAGGAAGGGCCGCCATCACGTCCACAGGCTGGAAGGGTAGATGGAGGATGGAGGAGGATCAGTGAGGGAAGATTTTTGATGAAAGAGATGAAAAAGACAGAAGGAAATGGTCATGAATAAAGAATGAGATATTGGGAGATATGAAAGAGAATGAGGGCCACATGGGAAATAAATGTGGTATGTGACCAAAAGTAAAAATAAAAATGTGGGTTCAGATTTTTGAAAAATGTCATAATTTTGAGAAAAAATCCTAAATCTCAGAATTTTCATAGTTTTAGTTTTTTCTCAACAAGAAAAAAATCACTTTTGGTGTGGCCCTAAAACTCTTCCGTAGTGAGTTGATTAGACTTGGATTCTGTAATACATTGCAGTTGTTAATGTGTGCACATCAGTGGTGCAAAGTACACTCAGTACATGTACTTTAGTACTGTGGTTTAGTAGAGTTTGGAGGTACTTTCCTTGCGAATTTACATATTCTCCTTATTTATTAAACGTACAGTACATGTATCAATAACATCTGAAAAAGGCTGCATTCTAAAAAAAGAAACGTCCAGGACAAGTGATCAGTTGTCAGAGTTACGGTTATTTGTGGTTCGGTTACACTTGTGAAATGTCTCTCTGGATACAATAACCTCTGTCATGCAGCTACAGCTTTTCATGCCTCCAAACAAACTTTGGTGGCATTAGTGTACCATCACATGATTCTCAAAAATGTCTGGATGAGAAATATGTGGTATGCAGAACAAATAGCATGCATGTGTGAAATATGGTTATATAAACTGAGCCTCCCAATAACAGACAGGGAGACAGAGTTCCTGTTCCCACCTCCGCCTCTCAGGAAAGAGAAACAAACAGCAGGCGTCGGTGAAAGAAAGGGCAAGAGGAAGAGGAAGCTACCTGAGGCTGGAAGAGAGAGTCCAACAGAGTCTCGTTTGCCAGGTGGAGGAGGAGCAGGACGATTTGGGCGAATGAGAGTGTGTGGGACGACTGCCCGGCCAGAAAAGAGTAGCACAGAAGAAGTGTTTGCAGGAAAAAGAGGGTAGAGAAGGAAAAAAGTCAGGAGAAATACTTCACAGTGAAGATCCCAGAGAGAAGTTGTGAGTTCACTGGTTTTCTTTTTGAAAGAAAGTTGGATGTAATTAGTCAGAACTGAGGCAATCCTAGCAGATGAATAGGCCTTTAGGCTTGGTTAAACAGCCAAAAACTGCAGCATAAGACATACTGCATTTTAATTAAAAAAGGCCAAATATTAACAAAAACATATACAAATGAGCAGATACTAATTATCTAGTTGGAAGCAGTGCTTGTTTAAGTCAGCCTACCTGTAGCAGTGATAGACTTCTTGTCCTCGTCTTCATCGCTCTCGTTGAAGTCGTCCATGTTGCCGATATCTGCAGGTTTCACACTCATCAGGCTGGCCAGACTCTGCATGTCTTCATCACTGAGACACAAGAACAGGAGAGGAAATATTACAGGACTGCAACTAATGATTATATATGATAGAGGATTAATGTATTTGTTGTTTGTCTACAAAATGTCAGAAAACGATGAAAAAGGTTGATCAACTTTTCTACAAGCCAAAGACAATGTCTTTTTATATTTCTGTTCTTGTGTTTATTTTTTATTTTTACAAAAGATATTCCGTTTCCTGACAAGGATTGAAGAAAACGAAATATAAGAAGCGAGAATAATAGTTTCTGACAATTTGAACTCTTTTTCTTTAAAGAAAATGATATAACAAAACCAATTAAGCAATTATCATAAAAGCTGTCAATTATTTTAATAGAGGAAACATATTGATACATATTTGCAGCTCTAGAACATAACTACACCATCATTACTTATTGATACGTTTATGACTTTATATATATCTCCACAAACAGGAAAAAGTCATTACAAATAATATGGTAGGTATATAAAATGTGACTATATGTATGAATCACCTGTGGACTTTAATTGCCCACAACACCTATACACAAATACAGAAGAAACTCTTGTATTTAAGTATTCTCTCTTTACTTTCAAGTATGTAATGTTGAAGCACTACTGTCTAAGTAATGTCATAATCATCATAAACACATGTTGTTGTGCCTTTAAATACTACTGCTAAAGTAAGTGGTGGGATAAGATATAACTACTACTTACGTAGCTTTCCCCTCTCGAACAAAGACACATGACAGCGACAGCTTGAGCGTGGCGTCCACCACTTTGACCGACAGCGGCTTCAGCTTCAGCGTCAGGTCGGTCTGGGTCGGCGTCGGACTGGCAAACCGCTTCAGGTTGATGTCTGCTGAGGCCAGAACCTTACGATGCCCCTTGCTCTCCTTTACATGACCAATAAAAACAACCATAGTAGTTTAAATTACATCTGACTATATCCGAGTACTTTGAAGACTTACAAGCAAAAGCTGAGTGGTCAAAGATACTTACACCCTCAATGACAAAGGTCCACTCTTTGTCCTCGAACTCATCAGCATTGACCTCCTGTAGAGACGAAAATAAACAACAATTTGGAGTCAAATATCCTCTCCTGCCATTATGCGTATACTGTGCATCCACCTGACTATATATAAATACATATTTATATTCTTGCAAATGTTGACATCTACTAAATGCATGTTTTTAATAATCTGGTGTTATAACACAGGCTCTTCATTGCACATGTCTGTCTGTCTATCTTTTTATCTTTCTATCTAAAGTATGTTCTTTTCATTTCTAGTAACTCCCTGTGTAGGTAAGGATCCGCTCGAGTTATCTTTCCTGTAATAAATACCCCGGTTTCGTTATATGTATTCTGGTCTTGGTACCTTGAAGAGAGTAACAGAGATGTCGACGTTCTCTGGGACGGGCCACACCACCATGCCTCTGTAGGGGTTCTTGATTCCAGGCTGCCAACTGTGGAGCTGTGATACAAACAAAACATCAGTGGGACTGCCAGTCGAAGAAGTACTCTTTACTGAAGTCAATGTCATAATAACACAGTCAAGAAATACTCAGTAGTTAAAGTCCTTCATGGAATTTGTTACTTGAGAAGAAGTAAATCAATTGACATCAAAATATAATAAACTATACAAAAAGTCCTTAAGTAAAACTAATGATTTTACAGAACAACTTCTGACTAATGCATGCATTAATGTGTACATTGTAGCCGGTAAAGGTGGGACGCATTTTAAAAAATGTTATGGTCAGGTTTGTTATTTATTATTTATAGTTACCTTTAAGATTTGTTGTAGGTATGCCCAGGTTTGAACCGTGGTTCAATTTACCCCCTGACCTGGATTTTTTAAGAAGTAATATTTTCACTGCCCTTGATCAATTATTATCATTGCCATTGGTAGGAGACATCCTGAATTATAGGTGTGTGTTTTCATTTTTACTATGTGTCATTTCTCCTTGCCTAGAGGACAGCATAACTAAAACAAATGGCTCAACTTACCCCACTCTCCCCTATGGTAGAAGTATTAAGTAGTGGAAATGAAAATATTTAAGTAAAGAACAAGTACCTCAAAATTCTACTTAATAACACTATTTGAGTGAATTTCCTAAATGGCTTTTCAACACTGCAGACTGTGTGTGTGTGTGTGTGTGTGTGTCTGTGTGTGTGTGTGTGTGTGTATGGTTCAGTGGTTTTACCTTGGAGCACATGCGTCTGTTCCTCCTGGTCCACACCACCCTTAGCTTGTCTGGTTGCCTATAGAAACAAACAAAACATAAAGAAAAACACGGAAATTACGTCTTGCCACACATCCATATTTTTATATAATAAATGTTATTATGATCAGACTTCAATCGACACGAGGCACTGATCTCAATGAGTGTGTGTTTTTGTTAGTAAAGTTGTATGCAGACGTCTGTGATCGCATCTGTGAATGTGTGTATTATCTGCACTTAGGCAACACACTGTATAACATGTGTTAGTGTACGTACTGTGTGCACCTGTCTCTTTGTATATGTGTGTTGGCAACATGTTTATAAGTGTTTCCATTGTATTTGCTCAGGCCCCTGCGGCACAGGAAGTGAAACTAGAGTCACGTGATTGAGTCCGTGGTGCACACATAGGAAGAGGATCACCTTTAAAGAACACACACACCCACAGACACCACCTCCAAGTAATATACGAGTACATATTAATAACCTATATATATTGCTAAGTCTAAATTATCTTTACTACTATTTCAACACCTACTAATTTCTTTATTAGTTCTTTATATATGCTAAAAATTGCCTCAAGTTTCCGTATATCAGTTCTGTGTGTTTATGTGTGTTACCGGGTCAGGAAGAGCATCCGAAATAATGTTACAGGCACAGGGTGAGGGTAACGGAGGGAAGAGAAGGAAAAAGGAACGAAGTATAACCCGAAACACAAAGACACAAAAACATTTAGCGTACCATTGAGCTCAGTAACAATGGTGTTTACACGGGCAAACATTAGGGGTGTAACACAGTTTAGTCACATGTAATTACCGTAATTGTGGTTGGTGTTTTGTCATCAGCAGACAATGGTTATATTCCACTGCTGACAAGATGTTAATTATTTTTAACACCATTTAGTGTTTGAGGTTACTGTCAAAAGAGATAATCTCATCACACTCAAACATGTACGAGCAGAACAACCTCCCATCTCATGTTTTTGTCACATAACACACTCTTAGTGTTACTGTAAAAATAGCATGTTGCTAAGTCTTTAATTATGTCTGAACTGTCTCTGTCGATCATTTTCTGACTGTTGTCATGTAAAAACTGGCATGGACTTTCTTATCTTAGGCCACTCTGTATTTCTGTTTCCTGGAGCTTGTGATGGAGAATATCTTGTTCCTCGAGTCCTGATATGATGTAAAACAGTGTTTGCCTCTTAGGGCCAGTTTGGAAAGTCAACAGTAATAGGGCAACATTATAATTAAAATTCATTTGAAGTTGTGTTTATATGGTTTTGGTCTCAACCAGCTAAAGAGGGATATATCTGTCTCTTTAGCTGCTAAATGCTCAACTATAACCAGCTGTCTTTCACTGTGTCTGTTTTCTGTTTGGTGCTGAGCAGGTAAAGTGTTTTAAAAGCATTTTCTCTGAAAACAGCCGCCTGCTATGGCCGAAAAAAGCACTATGAGAGCTGATCTAAGCAATGAGCAGAAACGCACTATAAAGAGAAGGTACAGTGGCAAAACATCTCATTCAAAGTCTTAAGATGCATCTCAGTAAGAAGACATTATGGGTAACAATATTCTGCCAATAGCCTCAAATCATAGCACTAAATTAAAACATTAACACACAAACACAACTTGTACACAACCATGTGACTTGTGAAACATAATTCAAGCCCCCTCGAGGCAAAGGGTTCATCTTCCCACTCTGGTGTTTGATGTGATCTTTAAGCGTTAGTAACCTCTGACCCCAGATACAGAGTAAAATCAAACTGTTTGCAGATTTTCTTCTTAAAAACATCACATGCCTAAAGTAATATGACTTTGGAATAATCTTTTGTGTTTCCCCACTTCCTCCTGTTCTCTCCTCCTTGTCTCTGTGCTTCCCTGTTTTACCAGCACACTTGTAAAGGCTTGTCAAATGTGATTTCTTCATATTTGGGAGTTTCCTTTTTTTCTAAATCACTCTTCCCCTTACCTTCTCTGTTTCCAGATAACAGAAGCTCTCTGCAGCTGATCAAACTCTAACACTTATGACGAGATTATTCAGTCATTGAAGTGAAAAAACCTGATATTTGTTTCTTATCGTGCTCCTGACGAGCCACTTTCACAATTATTCCTTTCTCAATGTAATCTGGACAGATAAGAAGGTGCAATTTGGGCCCAAGTGGCCTGTGGGCAAAAGTTTAAAGATACTAGAGAAACTTCTTAGAAAAATATCAGACAATGTAGTTATTATTTCACTATTTTAAAGCAAGTACCAACAAAAATTAATAAAGGTTCAGGAAAAGTTAGCGATGCTTTTAATATTTCAGATTCTACTTTAAAGCATGGCCCTTAAACCCTTAACCTGACCGTTTTGATAGTTATTCTTTCCTTATAAATGTTGTGTCTGTGTCAGAGAGCTGAATATTGCTCCGTGCTGCATCACCTGGCCTCCTCCCAAATGTTTTGTACAACAGGAAATTGCACAAGAAGGGGAAGCCATACAGAGCCTCAGGGCTATACAGTGATCTAATGTACTCTCTGAATTGAATAAAAAGCAAAACAAATTAGTCTGTAATAATAAATGATTAAATAACTGTGCCAAATTAGAAAATGTTAAATTGCTCAAATGTTAACCATACATCTGGTCTTATTGCCAGCATTTGTGTACAATTCCAAATAAATAGGAAATGACACACATAAAAACTATTATGTGTCGCATGGGTGTGCCACTATTGTTTTTTTAGAGAACACATATACTTTTTTATATTTAAATTTCAAATTATTTGAATAGGGTTGTGTGATATCATATGAGTTCAGTGTAGGTAACTATACATGTACTCAATTACTGTAATCATGTTCAATTGTGTAGTAATAGTAACCTACTTCCAATTTATACTACTTTATACTTCTACTCTTCAGATTCAGATGATTAGCTAATACAATAAATAATTAAATAAACTCGGACTTATGATCATAGGTAAAGACATACAGCAGCAGTAGCCTATATAAAGTAATTCAAATGAGTTCCACCTTTATCAGCCATGATGAACACAATCATAAATCAATAATCCATTTATTATATTTGTATATATAAAAACTGTATACATATTCTTCTAAAATGGGCCATAACTCTTAATGAGTAGTTTTACTTTTGGTACTTTAAGTATACATGAATACTAATAGCCTATTTCTGTTGTTTTACTTAAGGACATTTTTTGAATGCAGGACTTGTACTTGTATCAGAGTATTTTTACAATTGAGTATTGCTACTTTAGCTCAAGTGACAAATCTGAGTAGCCTACTTCTTCCACCACTGCATGAATGTAAAGATCAATGAACCTATGGACTGTTTGGTGGTAACATGTCTGATGTCTCAGACATACACAGACCCTGTCAATAGGCGGGGTCGTCTATCGAACCAACTATCACTGCGGAACAATTTATCGCTATACAGAGGCGACATGTGGGACGCCCTCATCCTTCACAGTGTAGCGGAAAGACCCATACATTAACTTATTATAACGTATAACATACAAAACAGGTTAGTAGGTGGGGCTATTTACATATTAAGAAACAGAAACAGAAAACGTTCATTTGAGAGAAATAAAGTAATTTGTCATCAAACCCACCATTTCTTCGTACACTCCAGTACGAGTTCCTGGTAAGAGGCGACAAACTGAAACTTTGAAGCCTTTTTACCGACTCGCTGCAGTCTCTTCCACACCGAAGTCATGACTTCCTCTGGTGAAAAATATAAAGTATCAAACAGGAAAAATAAATAAAAACACGCTCTCCTCCACGCAACAATAATCCAGCGATCTCTGGTGTGTCAGTTCCTTAAAAGGCACTTTTCTTCTTCTTCTGCTGCTGCTTCTGGTGATGATAACTTCACACAAGCTGAAACTTGCGCTCATTGGCAATCAGTTGAATCAGAAGTGTCGCCATGTACCGAACAGAAACAGCAATAATACCAAAAGCAAAGAGGAACCGATTCCGCCCTGCTGGCTGTAATTCAAACAGCATGTAGGCCTATACCCTCATGATATGAATTTCAAGTTTTTCTATGAAACGACTGCAGCTCATTGACAACTCTCTTTCTGGCAGTAATCCACATGGAGACAGCAGCAGCGCTTGTTGTAATGTAGATCTGCTGCCTTGAGTTCACACTCCTTCCTTCCTCCTGTGACAACACAGAGAGAGGGAGGATATGCAAAGATAGCCTATACTGGTGATGCAGCAGTATGCAAAGGTCTCTATCTGTGCTGCTTATGAAGGCACTGACAGTCTGAAGTCATACCTGTAGACTTTGATCCTGACTGTGTGTGTCACTGGAGCAGGCTTATCTATCTGACTGTTTCACTTAATCAGCCTGGCACACTTAGATCTCCTGCAGCAGGCATATGCAAGTGCTTTAGCAAGAAATACATAAAACACCTTGTGTGTTTTCTTATTTCAGCTCATAGTTATAACTTAAGTCACTTCCTGTGTTTCACTTGCGTCATCCAGCACTTGCCAGAAACATCCAGTTAACTACAGAGGAATAGTTTCCATGAAGAGGGCCAGTAAGTGTGTGTGTGTGTTTTCCGGCTAGGTCAAGGCACAGGGAGTTTCTTCAGTGAGAGCATGGAGTTTATTTTTAGGTGGGGGAACAGGGATGGATGGATGGACAGAGGCAGCTGGGGTGGAGGAGTGGGACAGCAGAGGGGGAACAACTCCCTCATGACTCATAGTTGGTCTAATAATACACTGTAGGTCCGAAATTCAGACGTGCATTATTGCTCTCGGTACCAACAGCTTGTATAGCTTGCTCTGTTTAATAAACAGACCTGACAAAACAATTCATTTACTGTAACCACTACGTATTACAGGTTTTAATCGAACACACACCTTAAAGGAATAGTTCTACCGCCCAAATAATCATTTGTATATCAAAAAGTAATCCTGTGATGATAGCTTGTTGAAACACAACATATTATTTATTCTAATTTGTAAGTACATGGGTTTTCTGTGTTTATGGAGTTTAAAATGATAATATTTTGACAAAAACACAAGCTGTTAAATACTGATTATAGAACTAAAAATATGAGATTGGGATTGTACTGCACAAGTTGTGTTAGTGTTTGTTGACAGTTTTCTGTTGTTAAACGGGGACCAATCATCTTCAATTTTCCAAGAATGTTGTTTTCTTGGTATTCCTTTAAGTGTTACATCTTAAAAAGTACTCCGGTGTGAACGCGCCTAATAATTGACATCCACTACACTGACCTCTTATCTGAATATCTACTTTAACAATCACTCACTGTAAGTCTTAAAGCATTTGCAGAAACTAGGTGGTGTAATAACAGCAATATAGCCAATAGATGAACAACAAAAACAAAGATAGAGAAAAAAAGGGTATAAATTGAAGAGGGACAAACAAGGGAGAAGACATCCATTGTGGTAAAGAGATGGACACACACAGTTAAACGCTTCACTAAAACTGTCAGAGAGAGAGACAGGCAGATTCTAACAATAACCCGCAACATATGTTGATTATAAATAGAGAACAGCATGAGACTGTCGACTCAGAACGTCACCCCCTTCATTCCTGCCCCCCACAGCAAATGGTTTTCCCCACTCTGCTGCTGCTTTAACATGATCCAAGAGGAAGAGCCTGGCGGAGGGAAGGAGCTCTCAACTGGAGACAGTGTGTCCCCTGTTGGTCATACCGGCAATATCATCCTCTGATAACATTTAAATAAGATGCAGAAATACTGAACATGTCTGTGGTGTACAAGATGGTTTTTATTTTAAGTTGCAGATACAAAACAAGTAATTTACTGTCTTTACAAAGCATTTGCCAAACAAGAAAACTTTAACACATTTTGTTTGATTTAATCAAAGGCTATTTCATTGTTTCTACTGGGCAGACTGTGCCTCCATTTGATAGTCACATGCACATAAACACAGCTAAGAGTTGAGGCAACACAAAAAAAACACTGTTTAAAAGTAGAAAAATCCACTGAGAACAAATATTTAAAAAAATTGCATTAAGGAGTTGCTTCATTTGAATAATACTTTTTCAGGTTTGCGAAAAGTCTGGATTGGTGAAGTATTTAAAAGAAGCACAATGTAATTCAATATACCTACGCCGTATACAACTGTATTAAACGAACGCATTATCCTCACTGAGATCAAAATCCCCTTTTCAGGTGTTTTTGAGAGCAGCACAGCTTCAAAATGGATTCAACAACTTTTTAAAGGCAGCGAAGATAGTACTTATAAACGCCACTTTGCAACCAATTTTCTGCAGCTTGTTATTCAACAGGACTTGTTGGGTTGGGCTGATTTATAAATGTTGATTGCTTCTCAAATTTGGGTTTAGAAAATGTGTGTACTGTGTCAAATGCTCACAGAAATCAAGACAGTTTTGCTATTTAAAGAAAGCCCTTTTTTTGTTAAGACACCAACTGGCTGAGGACACTGTGGAAGATTGTCCTGCAGAGTTTACAGAACAGCAAGGCTGTCAGGAAACCATAATCAGGCATCAGATGTATCAAAAGTGGAATAAGGCCCGGAAATAATTCTTATAAGGCAGCTTAAATTCAATGACAAGCAAGCAGCATGTAGTAGCATGAAGATTACGCAGTACAAAAAGCTGATGAGACCTGGTCACACTTGTCAGTCTGGATCTTTCTTCAGAGATAAACCACTGACAGGAAAACTAACACTTAGGTAATGCAAAGATTATAAGTTAATACAAAACTAATTAATACTCTGTACTGCAGAGCTATTGAGTTGCTCTCATTTTAATCGACCCACAGCCAGAAAACCAATCTGGAAATAGATGTGTGTGGCATAAAAACATGGCACGTAAAGGAGAGTAAGATGTCTCCACAGTGCATGGAGCGTGTGTGAGTGTGTGTTTAACTTCATCAGAGAATGTGAAAGGAGTCCTTGATCCACTGGTCCCTGGAGTTGCTGCTTGGTGGAGGCAAAGACAAGGATGAAGAGGATGGAGGTTGTGAGATAACTCCTGCCTCCTCCTCATCTTCCTCGTCCTCGGAGGAGGATCCGTTATCAGCAGAAAGCGAGACATCGGACAGCAGCGAGGAGCCCTTAAAGTCCTGGATGGATTCATGGAGGGACCACAGCTGGCACAGCAGAGACATGTCCAGCTGACGCAGACCGACCTGTTGCACAAAAACACAATCTGTTGTGGCCAACAAAGACTAACGCATGAGGAAACTCTGAACTTTCCCTTATAAGAAGTTTGACAAAAACAAATATCTTTGTGTAATGCACAACACTATGCCAACTGAGCAAACAAAAAACTAGGAAGTGGACAATGACTTTTTTTAATTAATTTTTTTAATGATTTCTCATCATAATTGCTTAAAGGTGGGGTAGGTAATTTTGGAGAAACCAGCTCGAGTGCGCTAGAATTTGAAAATACACAACCGGAAAAAATCTGCCACTTCCTTACAGAGTCCCTCCTCCAACACACACGAACGCTCACATGACCAATGAGGGCACGAGATAAGTTTGTGCACAGATGGAAAGCTGACAGGCAGGAAGGCCATCCAGTTATTTTAGCCGGGCCGGCGAAAATGATTGGTCGTGCTTTTTACAGAGCTACGGCTTCCACAGATGAATTTTTTTAATGGATTTTTTGTCAAAGCACTGAAGATATTCATTGCTATCGGGATGTTAAGAGCATTCCATAGAATATAACAAGTGTATCTCGAGCCGGTTTCTCAAACTTACCTACCCCATTTTTAAAGAGTGACTAGTTTCAAGTAGAAAATGTATGTCACACAGGTAGACAAAGGCAGGATATTTGCAGAACACATGTTTTTACTGCACCTTGGCTATTAAACAAAAAAATAATAGTAGGCCTATACTTAAAATAGTTTGGCTTAATTTAAATCAATGTTCTTGCAGGATTATTGCCGTTTTGAGTTTGTATCGTTGACTACACTTACATTGTAACAGGGGCGGATCTACCGGGGTGGCATGGGGTGGCCACCAACTGCCACCCTAAAAAATAGCCTTGCCACCCCAGCTGCCACCCCAGTTGGCATCTTTGTTTTGAAAGAAAAGTTGTGGTTCATCGGACATTTATGAGAGAAAATCTTGTAAAGATGGTAATTTTTCTTTGTGGGGGTCTTCCCCCAAAAAACTGTTTTAAGTCCTGAGAGAGTCAAATAAGACGGTGTGTCTGCCCAGCCAAAAAAAAGTAACCACTTAAATTTAACTAGGCCAGTAGGTAAGGACTTTCCACTGGATAATAACTCTGCAGCGATGTATATGTTTTAGCTGAATACACGTTTTTTAACCCTAATTTATGCAGTTTGTTCTTTCTGATGTAAAGTCAAGGTTGTAACTGTTTGCAGTAAAGTCGTGGGGCGCTGAACTGTTCCTTTGAATCTTTTGAATTTTGATACATGATAGTAATTACTTGTCTTTCAAATTTGAAGGAGGGTGAGCAAGGATCTTGAGGAACATTCATCATTAAGTCCTCCAAAAAATATAGTTTATTCAATAATAAATTAATATGTGAATCATAACAGTGATTGGCAGCTGATAGGAATAATATGATTATTAATAGTATCATATTCATTCAGACAAACATCGATGAGACAGTTAATTAATGTACTTATTGCAGCAGTCTTCATAGATTTGGTACCCCTGCTGGTCTAAGAGTGAAACCAACTGATTCAGTTATTGTTCAGTTAAAATTCATTAAATTATGTCTGCCACCTTATATATTTATATGTAACACTTTACTGATGTGCCACAATAATGTCACCTATGTTATTGAGTTAAAATATAAATATTGTGGCTTTCCAAGTTAACATTGATTGATATGACTGCGATTAAATCAGCATACTTCTGCCAGGGGACGCCACCCCTCAAAATCTCCATCCACTCCATGAATATTTGTCTAGATCCGCCCCTGCATTGTAAGCAGCTTTGGATAACTGGCCAGATAATTAAATGTAATGGTGTAACTTCACCATCTCTTTCCGCAGCAGAGCCAGAGCAGCGTCCAGTCCTCCCGGCTTGCCGTGTCCGCGCTGCCCGTCCCCGCCGCCCCGGTTGATGTCCGCCTGGATGCGCGCCCTCTTGCTGTGGACCTTCTCGATGTCCCGCCACGACCCGCCGCTGGAGTTCAGGATGCCGCTCAGGCCTTTGGGCAGCGGCGGCAGCCCCTCCACGGAGGAGACCCCGGAGGCACCGCCCCCGCCCGGACCGTCCGCCGCGCCGCGCCGACTCCCGTTCAT